TTTTTTTTTACCTTGCTTCATTTTTATTGTGGGATGTGTGTGGAGGGTGTCCATGTGTGTTCATGCATGTAAAGTTTAGATGACAATCTTGGGTGCTGTTTTAGTTGCTATTCTACTGCTATGAAGAGACCCCACAACCAAGCATTGAAACTAGGGGCTTGCTTACAGTTTTAGAAGGTGAACACAGACAAGAACAGCAATGGGACAGTAGCTGAGAGCTTTATACCCTGGTCCACAGACAGAAAGTGAGAGTGGGGAAAACAGAGAGGAGGGGGGAGAGAGACATAGAGACAATGGGACAGTAGCTGAGAGCTTTATACCCTGGTCCACAGACAGAAAGTGGGAGTGGGGAAAACAGAGAGGAGGGGGGAGAGAGACATAGAGACACTGGGTCTGGTGTGCACTTTTGAAACCTCAAAGCCCCCCCTGCCATGACATACCTCCTCCAACAAGGCCACACACCCTAGTCCTTCCAGACATTTTCACTAAGAAACAAGCATTCAAATATGTGAGCCTGTGGGAGCCATTCCTATTCAAATCACCACACGTGCCATCCCCAGGAATTCTGTCACCTCCTTTGAGACTGGGTCTCTTCACTGGTCTCATCAGTCAGGCTGGGCTGGCTGGTAGTTTTGTATAATGAGACAAATCATCTGGATTTATTGCTTCAGGGAAAGACACGTCCCCTTCAACCCTCTTCCTGAGATTATTTCTTTATCATGAAAACTGGGTTCAAAAAAATACTCCCGAATCTGATAACAGTCCCTCATGCCTGTAACCATAGTATTCAGGAGACTAAAACATGAGGATTGAAGCCAACCTGGGCTACATAGCAAGTTCTAGGCTAGCTTGCTCTTCAATGTGAGGCTGTTTCAAAACAGACAGACCCTGGAATCTTATGAACTAAAACAATATGCAAAAAAGCAGGCTTTTGAAGTTCACTTGTGATAGGAAGGGGAGGGGTGAGTAGATGTTTTTGTTTGCTGATAATAATTTTTAGAAATTCTTGTGTGTGTGTGTGTGTGAGAGAGAGAGAGAGAGAGAGAGAGAGAGAGAGAGAGAGAGAGAGAGAGAATCAGTGTATGCTGTGTTTGTGGGTTGGAAGAGGGAGTTGGATCCCCTGGAGCTGGAGTTACAGGTGCTTGTGGGCCACCTGACTTGGGTGCTTGGACTGAACTCAGGTTCTTTTGAAGAGTAGGAAGAACTCTTAATTAATGAACCATCTACTCAGTCCTACTGATAAAACTTGTATAGCACCCGTTTTCTGCTTGGCTGTGTGTTGTATAGCCATCTCTAGATGCC